CGGCTCGCCTGGAAAACAGACGAGAGTAGACGGAAGCAGCAGGGGGAGTGGCTGAAAGCCGGCGTTTAACGCCGGGGACACACCGGCCGCGGAAGCGCCCGAAGCGAATCGCTCACGAAGTCCGGCCGCTGCTCGCCGCTCCTCAGTTCAGATCAGACGCGCCCCATTCAAGGCGCGCCTCGGCTCAGCTGTAGGTTTTCTTTTAATTACTTGGTGTCCTCCATTTCCTCAGCTCTTTTCCTCTATGTGTGTGTGTGTGTGTGTGTGTGTGTGTGTGTGTGTGTGTGTGTGTGTGTGTGTGTGTGTGTGTGTGTGTGTGTGTGTGTGTGTGAGTGAGTGAGTGAGTGAGTGAGTGAGTGAGTGAGTGAGTGAGTGAGAGAGAGAGAGAGAGATGTGAACCAGTTGTTTCTGCCAGTTAAATCTCTTGGATTTCCCTGCATGATGGATGAAGATATCGCGTTAGCATTCACACTTGTTCAATTTTCAGTTTTAATTCTGGTGCCTGTTAGCAGCTGAAACACATCCTCACGTGCTTGTGGATATCATATATTGTATATGAAAACATGACTGTAATAATTAGTAAAGGTTATCAGCTGTAGCTTCAGTGTGCTCATAGGAAACGTGACAAAAGAACACAAAACACATTTCTCTTTATGGCCTATATAGTTGTCATCATCAACGTAACATGATTTACAGAATACATGTGACCAACTAACATTTCATGTTCTACCACCGGATGTTTGGATCAAAATGTGAACCAATCAGATCTTAGATCAGGTGAGAGCCAGGCGTTTCCCGTCATCCTCTAGGTTTTGCAGCCGAGGGAGAGCAACTGCAGCGCCTTGCTCCAAAATCTGCGGCCGCCTTGATCTCACGAGGATATCGTTGCCTACGTATGCATGACGTCAGAGCAAGTCGGTGTCAATTCGGACACAAATCTAACCGGCATGCACTGCTCGCCGATCACTGCTAGTCTAATCCGCGCAGAACTGGCTCATCTCAAACACAGCTAATGGCTCGAGTACAGCAAAGCGGCGTTGGTGATGTACTGCGTTGTACGCCGGAAGTATGCGACGACAAAATCGTGTTTTGTTGAGGGAACAAACAAATTCAAACTTGAATACGTTATTATGTTTGTGAATGTGTACAAAATAAAGGTTTATTACATTTAAAACGGTTCAGTTGTTATTTTGACTCGTTTTGGCAGCTGACCAGCGGGGCCGGTAGATTCTTGGCGGGGCCGGTAAATATTCAGAGTTACCGGCCCGGCTGGCCGGTTGGTTTTGAAGTTAATGTCCACCCCTGTTACACGTCCATTTTTTCCTCATTCACAGAAAGACTTGTCTGCAAGTTGAAACTTTAAATTAAATTAAATTCATCTGATGTTTCAATAAACTCTACTGATTTCCATTGTGTATATTATATGGTTTTGCTAACCCTTCCCAATCCTTTTATGGGAACTGCTATAGATTGTAGAATGTTGCCTCACAGTAAACTCACTTCAATATGTATGAAATAGCTCTTCTTAAGTTTACATTTGTGTTAAATCTCTGTAAACTGCTGCTTGTTGTTATTGTCAGTCGTGTTTGCCTAATCATGCTTTAGTATTTTATTTGTTCTTTATTATTTTACTGATTTTTGTATTACACTTGTATGTTATGATTCTTTGGACGAAGTTATCAGGATTGAGATTACGATCCGTAAACGACAAACGAATGCAGCACCTCATGCTGTGTTCTCAGTTCATCGTGTTGATTCTGAACCTTTCATATCTGATCATAGTGTTTATTACTTTACTTATTATTTTTCTTGATTTGATGATTGTCATTTTTGTCTTGAGCTGCTTGATTTGTACCATATTGGTCCTTATGACTACCGAGATGATCACCTTTCCTGGTTTTACCCCTTCCCTATTCCTTAAGTCGTGATTGATGTAGCTTTCATAGATAATGGTGACAAGTTATGGAAGTGGATAAAATTCCTTATTATTTAACTTATTTATTATTTTCCTTATTTGTTTTTGTTTTGTTGCTTTCTTTTGTTGGTTATCCTATTCGGATAAACAGGAGGGATTATGTTATTTGAAATTTTATATTTCATTGCTTTAATCCTGTTGAAATTTGTTAACAGGATTAAAGCAATGAAATATAAAATTTCCATTCTCACACTCAGACATACCCACACACTGTTCTTCCCACACACACAAACACGCACACACACACACACACACATTCTCTCACACAATGATCTCACTCCCATTCTTATCTATTTGTTTAAATAAACTCTGTGGTCAGATGTTCGGGGCATTTTGCCATGTGCATGTGCCACAGTTATAACTGGTTGAATTGTCTGCTCATTGTCTCCTTCTCTCTTCACTACAGGAAATGGGTTTATTGATAAACGTATTGATAAAATCCATGACAAACACCCATCATTACTTTTCATTGAAATTGTAGTACAACATATGTGTGATCCAGGGCATAAGGCAAAGCGGATTAGAAAATAGCTCTTTTAGCCCCGTTGACTTGCATTCATTCTTTTGTTCTTCTGGGGACCCATGATGCGGAGGTGACTTAGGCCCTGTCCACACGTAGCCGGGGATCTGCCAAAACGTAGATATTTTTCTACGTTTTGGCCTGTTATCCACACGAAAACGGAGTTTTTTCACACGAAAATGGATCTTTTTAAAAACTCCGGCCAAAGTGAAGATCTGCGTTTTCTCCGTTTTGGGTGTCTGCGTGTAGACGGACAAAACCGGAGTTTTAAGGTCCGCAACGTCACTTTCCGTGACAAAAAATGCTGACATCACGTGTGCGACCTGTGTTTACACTAGCCGACAGCATGGATGCCCTCAGAGCTGCGCTCTGTCACTACCCGATCCATCAATTGTCCAAGCGCTTTCTGCTTGTTTGTTTTTGCAAGCAGAATTACTGCTCCTTGCGGAAGACCACAGACGAAGGACGAGGTTAAGAACGGGGGAAGTACTGCCGCCTACAGGTTGGCATGTCCGTAACAACGTATTTATCCGGGTACGTGTGGACAGAGTTTGTTTTTAAAACGCGGTGGTGTGGATGCAAGTTTTTGGAGGGGCGGATATTCGTTTTCGAAAAACCCCGGCTACGTGTGGACTAGGCCTTAGGCTCCCTATTGGTAATCAAAGTACATTTTTGCAAAGTATTCATTCAAAATGTACATGAACACAGATCTAAACTAAATGCATTGCGCCTTGCAGAGTGGTGCTTTCTGTTGACCAGTCACAATGCTGCATTATTTCTGTGTTTTTAGCTGAAAAGTTAAAACAATTAGTCTTGTCCAACTTAATAAGCATTTATCTTAAATAGTTAGGATCTAAATAAAATTTTGCGATTGCGACTATTATTTTGGGATGAATCTATCGCAATTTGTGTGGCAGCCTGTCAGTGTGCCCTAGGGCTGCTGTGGCTATGGTGTAGCTTATCACTAGCAGTGAGTGAATATGTGTGCACGTTGGTGAACGACTGTTTTCTTGTAAAGCTCCTGGGGGGTGCTAGATAGGGGTGGACCGATATTTATGTTTTTTATATATATATATATATTGGAATCGGTCGATTTTTGTCCATGGCAAAGCCAATTTAAAACTTAAAACGTATTCAGCTTCACATATTTTGTGCATCAACTGATGTTATTAGTGACATTTTAGCATTACAAAATGTGGAAAATGTCTAGATATCGACCCATAAAAATCGGCCATCGGCTGACCGTGTCTTCAAAATATCGGCATTGGTATCGGCAATAGTTATCTATCTAGTTCTAGGACTCTAGAATAAATATAGGCAATTTACCCAAAAAATTTTCACTGAGTTGTTATGCTCTATTACATTCTCGATTATAAAGAAAATAGAGTAAAGTAGCAAATGCACAGGTCAGTTCTATACCTGACATCTAGAGGCTCAAAGTTTTGTTCAAACATCTAAACAGATGTGGGTCAAAGCAAGAAGCTGATCCCATGCCTCTCAATCCAAAGCCGACGTTCCTAATCACAACACAACCCTGCTGCTCCACTTTTCACCTCCATGAGAACGTCATCACAAATAATTACAAGAGGGTAACACTGAGAAAACACTGTAGGCGTTGTTTTTCAATGATGAGGACAACGGAGATGGTTTGAGGACGGTGACACATTGCTTTATCTCTCACCAACTAAAACAGCTAACACACTGCGGTTGCACGTTTAACTGACTCTCGTTCTCTCCCACAAGTGAGACCTGAGCCTTGTTCACTCTCCAAAAAAAGCCTGCAGCAACAAGCCAATCTGTTGGCAAACAGCTGGAGCTAAAACCCCCAAGGAGAGCAAGAGGGTAGCCGGAGAGAGGCAGATCTCAGCGAGAGTGGAAGCAGAGACAGAGTGAAAATGACAGGAATGAAAGCAGAGAGGCAGACAGTATTAGAGAGTTCTCACTGTCATAAATAATCAATGCTTAGTCAACAAAGTAAATGAAAGTGAGGGGAAGAACCAAGGATATTTTTCATTACCAAATCCAAAAGGGAAACCTGCCAGCGCGTTTACGTCACGAGTTGGCATCAGTCAGCCAAAATGAAAAGGAGATACAGAGACAGACACAACAATAGAGAAAGGAGGACAAAAAAGAAACTGGCGCTAAAAGAAATAATGACGGAGGATTCTACTGGGAATGCTTTGAAATGAAAAAGGGGGGAAAGGGAAGCAGGAAATTCCTTAATCATTTATCTGACCCTTTGTGCTTCACAAAAATTGGAATATGACAATCCTCCTCCTCTTTTTCTCATGTCATACCCCTCGTTCCACAGACACTTCCTTTCCTCTAACTCTTTTTGTTTATTATCATTTCTCTTCTGAGTGTCGTGCAAATCACATCCAGTACGACTGACTGGATTTCAAAACATCTGCCATTTGGAAAGAGTCTCCTTTCATCCTTCAGGACAGTGAATGAGAAAAGGATTGTGTTTCAGCAAAATCACACGACACACAGATGTCTTCATACCTCATGTCTTCCAGCAGGTCACATTCAGTCTGATGCTTAAAGTGCAGTCTTGTCATCTGCTCCGTGTGAGTGTTTTTGAGCTCCTGCGTCACTTTGACCTGGAGAAAACAATAAGACATCATCGTCACCGACCCCCTGACCTTTTCTTTGCTTTCTGATAACATCTGCTCCAAAACAAACACAAATTTATTATAGGATATCTAGATTTGAAGCTATGAAGTCACGGAACTGATGAAGTTCTCTTCCCTGGTTGTAAAAGAGTCTGCAGTGTGAAAAAAGCATCTTATTGCCTTAAAGTCAAACAGGCACATTAATACTTAATGATCCAAATCCATCCACAGTTCATAAACCCTTTTTATTACTCACTCCTGGCTGAATTAAGCGTTGCATGAAATTACCAAAAGACCAGGGTTTTCCCTGCATTCAAATTTGCGTGGCGGCCGCCTCCAGCTAATTTTGTGCCGCCCCAGCCTGATTTCACTCTGCCCCCAGCTATATGGATGTTATTTTAACTGCAGTTGCAGTGTTGCGCCACTACAGGGGCGCTGTATCAGCAGCGGTGCACCGAAGAGCACTAAAACCGCTGTAGAAAAAGATCAAAATAGCTTTTCTCGCTAGTTGGTACATATCTATGGTTGGTGCACTATTGACGTCCTGATGTTCCCCCAGGCTCTTCCATATCAGAGCAGGGCTGTACAGTGCAACGAAAAAAAATATCTGTGCGTGTCTGTCTATTTTTAAACATAGCACTGGTGCAACATCTTTTAATTACTATTTTCCCCAGAACTTTACTGAACAAAAGTAAGTTACGTGTAAGAAAAATGCTTTTTACTGGTGCACATTGTGGTCATCTGGATGCAGTGGAGGAAAATAAAGGAACCACCAAAGGCACAAAGGCAGAACCGGTCCAAAGTTTGGGATCAAAAGTGCAGCTACACGCAGATTGGCTAATGCTGAAGCTGACGGGTAGCAGTCTCACGATCAAGTGGCGAACATAAAAATATCTGATGATCGTAAAACTAAGAAATACTAAACTCTCTACAAGCGGATGAAAAGTCCCCACCATCCTGTTTATTCTGCATCCTGCAGCGCTATGGATTAGAACCACTGCAGATACGAGTACTGCTACAAGTCTTAGGATAGCCATTGTAGTATATAATTCACAAACGCTTCTATCTTTGAACATTATTCAAACTGGATTATTGCCAGCCCGTACATAATAGACATGTACATTGTTAGCAACAGAAGTTAAATGTTATTACCATTTCCAATACAAATGCATGTTAATGAAATGCATTATATTTTACTGGATATATTTATGTATTATTTTGACTAAGATGAGTGTTATTAATACAAACCTAAAATGTTACTGAAATGTGGGACAAATATTTAAAAATATTTTTAACTATAAATATCAGATGGGAAAAAGGAAACTAAACACCAATCTAATGCATATTATTGAGCCTTTGATGATATTTTGCCTTTAAGAAAGTGAGGCAGTTGAATGCACAGAGTATGCATGTGCTGGGCAATGGTCAGGATGGTACCACCTCTACCTCAATTTTAGCCAGGAAAAACCCTGCAAAAACACATAAATACACACAAGACATGAACGACACAGAAACGTGCGTTTGAAAGGCTGGGAATCAAGAGATTTAACCCTGGTATCGTGTCTTCTAATTAGTTATGAAAACAAAAGAAAGACCTATGTTCTCCCACAAATCCCAATCAATTTGGGTCAGCGTCAGGGCTTCCACAGATTTTTGGAGATGCTGACGGTGGATTTTTTGCTGTTAGAGGTGACCGAGAACACTGTTAACAGGAAAAGACCCTAAATGTTTCATTTCATGCACAAATGAGTTTGGGTGATTACAGCAGATTCATTCACAGCATCTTGAGCTAAAACTGACAGAGCCGACCCTTAATCTGCACCCGCTAGCTGGCAAAGCCCGGTACGTGCTCGCATCATGCACACACAACGAGGGTCACTGTGCTGTGTCGAGTGGATTCCATCATCCATTCACCAGAGAGAAACAGTGGGCATATTCATGACTGTTCTAGTCAAAACAACAGTACAACATGTCATGGGTCGCCCTGGCACACACAGCACCGCTCCCATCTTTTTGATGATGAGGAGGGAGTGGTTGCTTCCCTTGATGTCACCTTCCATCACTTACAAGCAACTAGAGAGAGAATGGTGGGGTAAGGGGTGGCTAAAAGGTAGATTAAAAGGCCAAGGGAGGAAAGCTGTGTGGTAGAAGAAAATGAGGCAGGAGTGAGAATAAGGAGGTAATATTGGGGAAAAGGGATGGCTGTTCAGAGAGATGATGGAAAAGCAGAAATACTGGCAACTTACAGAAGCTGGCTTTTATCAGAGCTTTGATTGACAGTTAGGTAGCACAGGTGATTTTCAATATAAATGCATAACAAGCTTTTTACATTTTTAATTGTGTATATTGGTTAAATAAAAAATGTGAGTTACTACCTGCTAGCCACCAAAGCTGCAACTACTGAGCAACCATTGATAACGTCTTTGGATCTAAAAAAACATTTTAGATGTCAGCCCGATAGCTACGATTAGTCGACATATTTAAACTGGAAATTGGCCCCCGAAGTAGCTACTAGCTCCTGCTCCACCATCCTTTAGAAAATACTGCGCTGTATCCTGGGAAATATTTGACCAAGAGAAGGCAACGAGGCCCCTCACATCCTTGCTTAGTTTGCTAAGCGGCTAACAAACGGAGGGCAGATGCCTCAGTAGTACATAAATATTAGAACCGATTGGAACATGCCTTGGCAGTTCCTTATGATGCATCTCCTAGGCAACCAAGGCCGGACCAAGGCATCAAGGCGTGGTTCCTTGACATTGAGAAATGGCTTCCATAGCAGCTCTTCTCTGTTTTATTAAACACTTCACAACATTGTTTGCAGCACATAATTGGTTCATCAAGTAGAATTAGTTGCTTTTTAAAACTACTGTATGAGTGCTGCAGACAGGCCAAAATACTTTTATAGTAGATTGTATTGTTTCTAGTACAATAAAGTTGGGATGTAAGAAAATACCTATACACAGAAATACATATGTATTGTGTTATGATACTGAATCTATATTTAAGAGCAGAGTTTTTTGTTTTTTTTTGCTGAGAATTTACTTGCAAACATTTTCTGTATTTATTTTGCAGGGTGCAATTCAAACTCCCACTGCTAGGTGGCAGCAGTTTTTACTGCCTTCTTTCTGACGGAACGATATCTCGAGATAACACTCAATGTGTCTTGGAAGCGTCTGGCCTGAGTTTTCCAATTAAGTTCAGTCTTCTTCTTCGTCGACTTCCTCCGCTTATCCGGGCCCGGGTCGCGGGGGCAGCATCCCAACTAGGGAGCTCCAGACCGTCCTCTCCCCGGCCACCTCCACCAGCTCCTCCGGCAGGACCCCAAGGCATTCCAGGACCAAATTGGAGGTGTAACCTCTCCAACGTGTCCTGGGTCGACCCGGGGGCCTCCTGCCGGCAGGACATGCCCAAAACCCCTCCCCAGGGAGGCATCCTGACCAGATGCCCAAACCACCTCAACTGACTCCTTTCGATCCGGAGGAGCAGTGGTTCTACTCCGAGTCCCTCCAGAATGTCCGAGCTCCTCACCTTATCTCTAAGGCTGAGCCCGACCACCCTACGGAGGAAACTCAATTCGGCCGCTTGTATCCGCAATCTCGTTCTTTCGATCGTTTCCCAAAGCTCATGACCATAGGTGAGGATTGGGATGATGATCGACTGGTAAATCGAGAGCCTGGCTTTCTGGCTCAGCTCCCTCTTCACCACGACAGATCGGCTCAGCGTCCGCATCACTGCAGGCGCTGAACCAATCCGCCTGTCGATCTCCCGATCCCTCCTACCCTCACTCGTGGACAAGACCCCGGGATACTTAAACTCCTCCACTTGAGGTAGGACTTCTCCCCTGACCCGGAGTTGGCAGCCATCCTTTTCCGGTCGAGAACCATGGTCTCAGATTTGGAGGTGCTGATCCTCATCCCAGCCACTTCACACTCGGCTGCAAACCTAACCAGCAAGAGCACAGCTAGCAGTAGCCTCCTCAACAATCACAGAGCGGAACAAGGCCCACTCGGAGTCAATGTTCCCCACTGCTCTCGGGACGCAGTCAAAGCTCTGCCGGAGGTGGGAGTTGAAGACCGTCTTGACAGGTTCTTCTGCCAGGCGTTCCCAGCAGACCCTCACTATGCGTTTTGGTCTGCCAGGTCTACACGGCATCTTCCCCTGCCATCTGATCCAACTCACCACCAGGTGGTAATCGGTTGACAGCTCCGCTCCTCTCTTCACTCGGGTGTCCAAAACATACGGCTGCAGGTCAGATGATACGACTACAAAGTCTATCATCGACCTGTGACCTAGGCTGCCCTGGTACCAAGTTTTCCGATGGGCATCCTTATGTTCGAACATGGTGTTCGTTATGGCCAAACTGCGGCTTGCACAGAAGTCCAATAACGAAACAACACTCGAGTTCAGATCAGGCGGGCCATTCCTCCCAATCACACCTCTCCAGGTCAAGCTGTCATTGCCCATGTGAGCATTGAAGTCCTCCAGCAGGAAAATGGAGTCCCCTGATGGAGCACTATCTAGCACTCGTCCCAGGGACTCCAAAATGGGTGGGTACTCTGAACTGATATTTGGCCCATAAGCACAAACAGTCAGGACCCGTTCCCCGACCAGAAGACGCAGGGAAGCTACCCTCTCGTCCCCCGGGGTAAACTCCAACACACAGGCAGAGAGTCTTGGGGCTAACAAAAAGCCAACCCCAGCCCTCCGCCTCTCACCCAGAGCAACTCCAGCAAAGGAGCGAGGTGACGTTTCATGTCCCAAAAACCAGTTTCCTTGTCCGAGGATCGGACCGCCAAGGCTCCCGCCTCGGTCTGCCACCCGATCCACACTGCACCAGACCCTTCATGTTCCTCCTGCGGGTGGTGGGCCCACAGTTGGATGATCCCATGTATCCGGTTCGGGCTGGGCCCGGCCAGGCCCCATGGGCGAAAGCCCGGCCACCAGGCGCTCACCCACAGGCCCCAACCCCAGGCCTGGCACCAGGGTGGGACCCCGGTGACCCTCCGGGCCGGGTACTCTGACTCTTTGAATTTACATCCATGAAAGATCCTCTGAACTCGGCTCTGAACCGTTCTTTGTCTCACCCTTCACCTAAGACCAATTTGTCATGGGAGACCCTACCAGGGGCACAAAGTGCCCCAGACAACATAGCTCCTAGGATCAATAGGGCACTCAAACCCCTCCACCACGATAAGGTGACGGTTAAAGGAGGAGAAAGTTCTGTCTTAAAAAGTTTAAATATTGTGTAGTTTTTAAGAATCGCAATATCTTGAGATTCATATCGTACTGCCAGGTTCTTGTCACACACCCCATAATAAAGGAAATTTTGGTGTCACACTTTATCCTCTGGTTTTAACCAGTGGCTAAATGTTGAGATAAATCTGAGTTTGTACCCTCCTAAAAATGTGAACTTTGAATACTTTGTGTTTAAATAATCAGAAAATGACTGCAAGAAACAAACGTGTTTTGAAGACAGTCTGATTGGAATCCAAAATATATTTATGTGGTTATTTATTCATGACATGCAAAATTTTAATACAGTGGGGGGGGGAATCACATTCTAAATAGGGGTGGAGCCAATATATCAACCACTCTCAGGCGCATCCTCGGGCAGCCGGGGTATGGGGACGGTCTCTGCGATACTTAGACTTCCGTTTATCTTGGACATAACATGTTTTTTTATTTCGATTGATGCTGTGATCTTTAAGTTTTTTTAACAAGCCGCTCCTACAGGAGTCTGTCCCCATCAGTCCCTGTGCAGTCTCTGGTGATCTGAGCTTCAGCTCTAACAGAGAGACGCTCATGGAGCACTGCAGCGCTCCAGTTTGCCGTCTCACCTGATTTTGTTCAAAAAGCAAAACTTATTGCTCGTGTTTACTTTCATTTTCAATATATTTACCGGCCGGAGCTCGGCATTAACTACCCACATCATCATGACACCTCCCTCTGTTGCGCCATGGTGCAACAACCGTTTATAAGACAGACCATTAACGCAATATTACAACCAAGTGAGGGGGAACAAATGCTACAAATTTTGCGCAATGCCATGCCAGCATGGCGTGTTTATAAGACACACCGTTGCGGTAATATTACGCAGATTTGCCGGTATGGTGTGTCTTGTAAAAAGGGCTTGTGTCTCCTACATATCGACATCGATTTCGGCAATACAAAAACCCATATCGGTTAGGGGTGGGTGCAATTAATCGATGTGGCGATGCATCTAAAAGCTTAACATGTTGTTTTGGCATCGATTAATGAACGTCGATGCTTAAAAAAACATAACATCAAAGTTTTGTTGCGAAGCCGGTACAAAAAATAAATAAAAACACGTAACCGGAGCCTTAACGCGCGCGCCGCCCGGACTGTTTAGTAAGTGGCACTACCTGTTTGACCTCTTTCTCCATCCTAGAGACTGTATTCAGCAGTAAACAACAGGGGGTTTCGGTTAGTGGTGCGCACCATGGAGCCGCGCTAAAACACGAAAACATTTCGCAGAAAAAGAAGCCCCCCACCTCTACGAGGAAACCAAAGCAAGCATTCTGGAGTTCATGAAGAAGGCAACCGGGATAGCACTCACATGCAATGCGTGGACATCGGTTGCCACCAAATCCTTCGTTACTGTAACGGCGCACTTTGTTCTTGCGTCGGACAAGAACGGGTGGAAGTTGGTGAGTCACGTTCTTCAAACTCAAGAGATGAGTGGGAGTCAAAGTAGCACAATGTTGACATTTGCCCATCTCACACAACAGGAGGATGTAGGGGAACAAGAGGGAGGAGAGGGAGTATGAGTGTCACTCTGCTCTATTTTATGTTGTTTATGTTGTTTATGTTGTTTATGTGCTTAGCAGACGCTTTTACCCAAAGCGACTTACAATTTATTTTTTTTAACCTATAGGGCATGTTGTGATTTTGTTGTGTTCGCCTCACTGTACTGAAGCTCCAGGCTGAATATATGTTCAGTTGAATTATGCACTTTTGTTCTGGAAAAATACAACATATTACCTTCAAATATAGCAGGTTTTTTCTGTTACCTATATTCCAGACTGAATAAGCTGAATTTATTTATTTGATCTGTATGGCAGCTTTTTTGTAATGTTATCATATGCCAGACTCATAAGTTTCCATTAAATAAATTTGATGGAAGTAAAAATCTTGTTTACTTGAATTAATTACCTCATTAAATCCAGGGCTTGCCTGTTTTCAGTGTTTCCCAACAATGGAGGGGACACTAGTGTAAGTAAAGCTTTCTCTGATCGAAGTTAAGTTGGTCAAAGTGCAAATATTTACACGTCATACAGTCATAAAATAAGAATTTGTCTTTGAAAAATAGTTAAATGTTAAAAAAAATTTATTTACTTAAAGAGAGTAGTTTTAGAGGAACTGAATTAATTGATAGGTTATTTATTTACAAATGTAGATAAAGAAGAAGACAATCTTGTATGAAAAAAGCATTAAAAATGTCAGTAATTGAAGAATCGTGGCACCAGTAATCGAATCGAACCAAAAATCATTATAATCGAAGAATCGAAGCTCCAATAATCGAAATCGAATCGAAAAGTACCCTTTTTGGAACACCCCTAATATTGGTTGAACTCTGATTCTAACCCACAGTCTGGTGTAGTCACTGGATGCTTAAATCTTGGCATGCTGCATCACAGCACTTTCTTCGTGTTTTCAGCTGAAGGGGAACAAAATTACAGAGTGTTTACCTAATGAATAATGATGGTAAATAATTGTAATTTCTGTATTTGTTTTAAAAATATAATGGGTCCTGAACCAAGCTATACATTTGCAACTAAAAATCTGACTTTAAAGTCAACAGGTACGCACTGAAATGCAGCCAATCAAATACTACTACTAAATACTACTAGAAGGTACATGTGTCGTTTAGTTTCTGCATGAGAAAACATCAAATTTATATCACTTTTTCTATAAGACCTTTAAAGGAAACAAGAGAAAATGATGTGACTGGTGGAGCACACTGGTTTTTACAGCTGCAGAAATGTGCAAATGTAGGCCAATAAAACTGATGATAGCAAACAATAAAAAATAGTTGTAATCAATACAAGAGAACTGCAACATAAAGCCACAAAAAGTAAGACTTTTAAAGCCTGAGTCAAACTAGAAGCAGCGATCTTTAATTCAGGCCACATCAAACTAATATATGAGACTCAAAACGAGCTCAGTTTGTAAGCAGATGGGCTGAGACCCCGGCTAAACACGTGTCGCACTGGGAGAGAGAAATGACTTGTATCTAGCAGCCAAATACTGATACACTCCGACTGTTGATGCTGTGTGTGCTGAGTCTGCTGGCCACATCGGCACAACGTAAGACATCAGTGTTTGGACCATCTCTGTTTTACATTTGACGTATCAAAACACCACTTCTAATGTGACAGTGACAGCAGTAGGGTCTCTCTATTGCTTTATCTATACATTATAAGGCCTGCTTAAGTGTGTGTGAGTGTGTTGTAAAGACATGACCTGGCATGCATTGAGGCCGCACATAAATGGCACGGGGGGGATATGTGATAATTAAAAGACAAAAGGAGTAGAGGTTCACCGTGGGAGACTGCCTCTGTGTGTGTGTGGTGGTGGTGGTATGTGAGTGGGGGGGTATTTCAACCATGCACCTTAAAGGCAGTGAGCCACTTTAATTCACTTTTTCACATAAGCAGCACATGTCTGCTTCTGGCACACCCCCATCCAAGATGCAGTGTTACCTAATGCTGAGATCATCCCTGTTATGATGTCATATTCTGCAACATAGCTGTTATTCATGGGAGTTAAATGTGTTGTGTTTGCATCCTCTGTGGTTGGTTGCTGTACATAAGCATGGTTGCCTGTTATTTGAGTCTATATTACATGGAAGGCTAAATAAGCTTGTAAAATGTTGGAAAATGAATTTATTTTAGATCAAACAGGATTCACACAAGCACATGTGTGCACAGAGACCTACTGTATGTGGTCTCTGCTACAAGCTCCACAGAATCAAAAGGTCAGCATAAGACATGGCTTCAGTCTTCAGTGCGGAGTGATTTTAGATTTTGTCAGCTCTGCCTCTTTAGATGAAACGATGTGACCCTGGGCAGATTGAAAGACTCTTTTTTTAAAACAAGATGCATCTGACAGGACAGATTTGTTGTCCTCTCTGAGGGGAATCTGTCACAATCTCACGGTGTACCAATTAGCAACATAACACTGCAGCTGGATTTAACAGTGAACCTAGAACAAGGTGCATATCTTGTGATTTCCTTTTTTACATCTTTAAAAGACAGCTAGAAATCCTAATTAATGCCACAAAGCGATGCTTTGTTGATTTCTTGACAGCCCACCTAGCGCCTTCTAGCTAACGATGTTTGACGTTTTGACGGTCGCGGCTGCTGGGCAGATGCACTCATGTCAAAAAGGTTCATGCTAACACGCCTGCTAATGTTGACTAGTAAAGGGCTTCTAAATATCACAGTCCGACACACGTGAGGTTACAACACTTGTGTGGCTGGCATTGTTTCAGCTGAAACATAACGGTCCCTGGAAATCACTCACCTTCCTTGGCGGCGGCTGCATTTTGGAGGCTTGACATGAATGGTATTTCCCTTGTGAGATGTTTTGTATTTCCAAAAGGAAATCCAAAATCAGCGTGAAAACTGATGTATGGCTTCTTCCAAGCAAGGACTCTTCCCCCCTTTTTAAGTCTCGACGACAGGGGAGGAAAGATGGGAGTTAAATTTGGACTCCGGCGGCCATGATTGATGATAAACGGCCAGTTTACAGAGAGCCGAAACTGAGGCTACGAGGAGAGGCAGCACACGCTCGTGGTGCTTGCTGCCACTACGAGTGTGTACTGTACTGTTGTGGAGCAGAGGAGGGAGCAGACAGAGAAGAAAGAGCGGAGGGGAGAGAGGAGGAAGGGATGGGGTTGTCAACAGGAGCCCGCTTCAGGAACTAGGTTCAATGGCGCCACCATGTGGTCAAATACGGGACAGCAGCAGGTGTCTGATTAAAAAAATACACAACAAAACGGTCTCGATTTCGATTTATACACCTGCACGCGTATCAAACAAAATAAAGCTACAAAACGCACATTTACTGAGGTGTCCGGATAATCCCCCCAGCATTAATTTGTTTTCCTTTTTTGCTGCAAAAGCTTGCTCAAGGAGAGCAGGGAAGAGGCAGACCCGCATAGCAACAAGACTCCGCAGTCAATTGCAGAAAAATCGATCGCGTTTCAAAAACAATTAAAATGTTTAAAATGAAGCTTTATCCCTTTTAAAGTGCAGTTTGATTTAAATTAAGCAAATAAAAAGATCAATAATGGCACGAAAATGAATAAAAACGCAGAATAATGGAAAATCTTCTTACTCGTGGAAACAATTGCTTGTTTAACCCTTTCAGGTAGTATTTAGCTGACAATTGTGAACTTTTTTGTGCAGCATCAGAGTAAAAATTAAATGGGACCTAGAAAACATAAAGAGCTATACATCACAGCATAATGCCCCTGAATCATTGCATGAATCATGAGTCATCACTCCAGTTGTATTTGCAAACCTGTCATGATTTATTATCTAATTTAAATTTGAGATCTTTTTCAACACATAAAAGGGTTTTCATATACACACGGCAGAAACCTCCCATTTAAAACTCAACTTCCTCATTCCATAATTTTGCATAATGACCTTTACAAAGCAGCAATGTGATTTATACAATCCACTCAAGGTCGAGACCGATGGCTGAAGATCAAGAAAATGCACTCGTGCATTATAATTTCTCTGGAATCAAAGATGGCTGCTTCAATCTAAAAAAATAATATATGCACTAGTACTACTGGTTTTTCTTTTTCTCGCTAATAATATAAGTTAATCAGATAAAACACCCAGATAAAACCAGTTAAAACTGAGTCATAGATAGACAGGTTAAAGGACAGGTAATCATTAATGCAGAAAGCTCCTGGAGCAGGTGAAGCATTACGCACTGTTTTTCACCTTTCTTTTCACTTTAACACTTCAAACTGACACTTTCACGTTGGCATCCAGAGAAACCAGACACATCAGCACAGAAGAAAAATGGATCACAGTCACTTAGAGTTTCTATTTATTTGTTAGGGTACTGAGATAGATATTTTGGATTTATAAAAGTGGATTTAGTTTTCCTTTTACCATACTAAGGTAAGCAAAAAATTGTCTAATTCAAAAACTAGGACTTTATAATTGTTTCATTCAAAACAGAACGTTTTTTTTACGTTGGGCCCATGTGGAACGTTATTGTGAAACATCAGGCATTCCTTTTAGTCAAGTCTGAATTGTAGTTTTAGTGACAAATATTCACAGATGGACACAAACACCTATAACCCAAACTGGATACTGTTAGGTACTATTTAAGTGATGAGTTTGATGTAAAATGTTTAACATCTCACAGTAACTTTACAGTGAAATTGAGGAATGCCGCAAAAATAATTAATCTCTAAACAAATTAAATTTAATGCTGTGTCCTAAATGTGTTTTAAATTAAAATATATATATATGTCATAATGAGATAATAAATGTGTAATAACATCTTCTGTGTTTATTATTTTTAATAATCATCCATCATTCAGAAGCAAAACAGAGGCATGGTAAAAATAAATGTACAAAAACACTCAATAGTTTTTTACCATATTGCCATTTATTTATTTTATTTATTCATTTTTAAACTAGCAAAGTCCCATTGGGATTAAAAACCTCATTTTCCAGGAAGTCCTGGACAAGAGGCAGCAAAAGTTACAGTCACAACATTTCTCAGTTACACAGTTATGTACAGAATCACAGAAGGCAGTTACAACACAGGAAATCCGTCTGGTTTTAAATGTATTCAAGGATCAGTTAATTTCCAGTTTTCTTGCAACCTGTTTCATGAAGAAAGAGCAGAACTCCTTAATAAAGACAATTAAGTCAAAGTCGCTAATCTGTGAAAAACAAAGTATGCTGTGATTCAGTGGCATGGCTGTGGCCTGCATGACTTTTTCAGCCGCTGGAATGGTTTTAAAGCCTCTCCTGGACTGATGGGAGAAAACCGTTTCATCTCTATCATTTAACGTTTACACAGAAAGAAAAATCACAAAGCGATTCACAAAGAAAACCACATCAAAATTAATATGTTATTAAAAGACAAGAGACAAACAATAAATAAAAAATATATCATAATACAGATGAAAGATGATTAAAAACAGAAGAGGTCATTGTTAACACACGCTTGAATGCTCCTGATCAGCCAAACACAAACAGCGCTTGCTTGATGACGCGTGAAGATGAGAAAATTAATTACCCGCTGACGCTTTCACGTTCAGCCTTTCCACCTATTGACCTTATTTTGGTTATTGTAGAATCTATAGTTTAGTTGGTTTTTTTTTTCAACATTTGAGGTTATTAGTGCCACTTTGTTCTGTCTTGTCATGTTCAAACAGGTTTTTCTTTTTTGTTTGTTTGTTTTTGACGATCTACATAAAATATTTCAGACAAGTCTCCTTTTTTGTGTGTTTTAAAAACAAGTTTTATGAGTGTAAAAACAAGCGTTTGTTGAGGCTGTTGAGCCTCTATGATGAATGTCCAATTCACATTCAGCATCTGAGCCTTCGGGGCTGAGACGTGCCAGCTGCAACTTGTCAGATCAACACACACCTCAGAGATTTCAGCAGCTCGAGTGTCAGACACACATACACATGCACACTGAGGATACACCGCTCAGGAGAGCCAGCGTGATGCACTGAAATGGTGTGAGTAACATCCTGTTTGATGAGTTTTAAAGATGTTTATGTGTGAAAGTTTGCCGGATTTGTAAGATTTTGTCTCAGCGTGCACACAGCTGCTAAGAAGAGCGAAGGTTCATTTCCAAAGCCGCCGCTCTGTCTCTGGTCTGCTCTCTGTTAAAGCTCAAATGAAACAGTTTGAAGTGGAAAAAGGAAAAGAAGCGGGAGAGCAGAGTGCTCAGTCAGGACAAGCAGCTGTTTCTTTTTAACAGAACACATAACATCAGAAGGAGAAAAGGAGCTTCCTGATCATCTGAGAAGTGTGTAAGTCATGTTATTTTCTGCATTAATGAACTTGTTTTAACTTGAGCTTGCCAGCTTAACAGAGCACTTTAGTCTGAGAGAGGCTCTACTGTGCATGCTGGTGGAGAGAGAAGAGGAAAGAAAATGTGAGAAGGGTCTGAAAACAGTCTGGTTCGAGTTAGACGATCCCAGCTGTAAGCTCTTAGAAAACTCTGGCATACCGTGTGAGGGTTGATGTTCTGCAGGAGAACATGGCTGCAGGGAACATTTTGTTAAAGCTCGCTTCCACACGACCACCTTGTGTGAAACAAATATTAATGATTTGTGGTCAAAGGTGTTTAAAGGTAAACCAGAGAAGCAGTAAACACCTGGATTTCATGCTTTGATTTGACTGGATTAGAGCTGCCAAGCCAACATGTTGCATAGACTAAGATTAGTAAGTAAATGAATTAAATAAATAAATTAATTTAATTAATTATTTAAACTTTTAGTCTAGAAAAAAGAACAAGCAAAGATTAGATTTTTTAAAAACGCAATGAGATTTAACCCTCTGGAGGCAGGCGTTGCAGATTTGCAACAGTTAAAACCTACCTACCTGGTTACTCCACGTACGTGTTTCATGAGTATTTTTAACTCAGAAGTACTCCTGAAGGACTTAGTTGTTCGTCCTTTTATCAAAACTTATTTTTGAGCCTGAGAGGGTTAAAGCTAATTCAAGCTTCATTTAAGATCAGTTAAATTCCTGTTTCCTCAGGTGTTCTCACAGCCAACATGTCCTCCTTTGGCCCCAACATGACCAAACAGCCCAACTCCAGCACCTTCTGTGTGTTTAATGAAGAATTTAAGTACATCCTCCTTCCCGTCAGCTACACCCTTGTCTTTGTGATTGGCCTGGCGCTGAACGCCATGGCGCTCTACGTCATCGTGTGCCGCACAAAGCACTGGAGGCCCTCCACCATCTACATGTTCAACCTCACCATGTGCGATACGCTCTACATCTTCACTCTGCCTTTCCTCATTTACTACTACGCCGACGAGAACGACTGGCCCTTCAGCGAACCCGTCTGCAAGCTGATACGCTTCCTGTTTTATGCCAACTTGTATGGTGTGGAAAAACAACACAACACACTCTCAGATGTCCACAAAAACAAAGACAGATCTGTTCTTTTTGGGTGGATTTGTGTGGAAAAACAATCAGTTATATACCTGTGGTGGATAGGTATTTGAACAACCTCAGTCTGGAGAAGCCGAGATTAGATAAGCTAACGGTTAGGTGAGACGAGCCAGGAACAAACACTCAAAACAGCTCAGGGTGTAACATAATTAATTGGAATTTAATAATTTTGACAAACATAATCATGTACTGCAGAGCTGACGGCAGTGCAAGTCTGGAAATATACTTGCTTTTAATGATGTGTGCGTGTTTAAAATGGCTGTCTCGTGTGACTTGCCATGATTTGAAGCATCATTTGTGTGCGTCCCCTGAAATGAACCCGACATGTTCTCATGCTGCAATATACGAGTAACCATTAGACGGCGTTAACGAAATCTGGTTTGGAGTTAGGGTCAGTTACTGATCTCTTCTATTGATGCCATGTTTGTTTTAGTTGTATGTACAAACCCAGCTCTCTATCTGGTGTGGGTTATCTACTGTGCCCCCTAGCGGAATTCTCCAGTACTGCATGCAGTGCAGTGCTGTACAGCAGCAAGTTACAGCAGCAAGTATGTGAACAAAGGCACTGCCTGCTGCCTGCATCAACTGCAGGTTAAAAAGCAAGTGTATTCCAGGCCTAACAGTCTTTTAAAATAATAATTTCCATTTATCCTTAGAGATCGGAGCCCTTTGAGGATGCATTAGTTTACTGCATGGCTCCACTGTGAGTAGCTGCTCAATTTCTGGTCAATTTCTGCTTCTCCAGTTGGAGATTGTTCTATTAGCTAAGGAGCGATTCAGAACTTTTCCACAGAAAACCACTTTGAAAGATTGTAAAAGCTTCTTTTAGAAGATGTTTTACTGAACAATCAAGTAGTGTCCTTTATCAGATTAGTTTAGCAAACACTTTTATTTATACACATTACCTCCTTGTTTCTCAAAGAAATTAGATGTGGAGACAGTGCGTCTTCACAGCTACCATTGAGAAAGAGACAGGGTTACACCCCGTCAAGGACCCCAGTCCACCACAGGCCCAGAGAAACAATTCACACACACTCCCAGTGAACAGTCAGAGTAGCCAACTAACCTAGCATGCATGTTTTTTGTGGAAAGCTAGAGTAAATCGATGCATTTCTATGACTTGCAAACTAGTTGAAAAATTAATTTAAAAGATTACGATGGTTTTTTTTTTTTTGCTAATCACTGAAACGTAATTAAACAATGTGCAAAAAAATTGTAAAATCTGGAAAATTTGCACTTTACTGCTGTTGGATTTGCCCAAATGTTGTGTTTTTGCACACATCATAAAACATTACAACAATGATGCAACATCCATTTGCTGTGCTTAAAAGTATGTTAACTGTGCTTAAATCACTCGAGAGTCTAAAGAAAAGCAGTGGAATTGTCTGTTAGGTTCCATTCTGTTCCTGTGCTGCATCAGTCTGCATCGGTTCGTCGGCATCTGCTATCCGGTCCGCTCGCTCAACTGGGTCAGCGCTCGTCAGGCCAGGCTGGTTTCGATGGCGGTGTGGGCCTGTGTTTTATTCTGCCAGGCTCCTGTCCTCTACTTTGTCAGAACCAGGTGATTAAACCTTCTTAAACAGTTATACAATTTTTTTTTTGTTTCTTAGTATGAAAAAAAAATCCCAAATAGTTCTTTACGTCCTCTGTCAGGGATGTGGCCACCGAGCGGATCTGCTACGACACCACCAGCCCAGAGCTTTTTGACGACTTCCTGGTGTACAGCTCCATCGTTTCTGTCCTCATGTTTGCCCTGCCCTTCATGGTGGTGATGGTGTGCTACGGCCTCATGGTGCGGAAGCTTCTGGAACCTGGATGGGGCTCGGAGAGAGGATCAGAAGGCCTGAGGAGTAGCCAGACACCCCATCCATCCAAGCATAAATCAGTGAAGATGATCATCATAGTGCTGGCAGCGTTCATGCTGTGCTTCCTCCCTTTCCACCTCACCAGGAGCCTCTACTACTCCTTTAGATACCTGAGGCAGGTTGATCCTTCACAGGTAAAGACTCACTGAGAAATGTCATAATGTCATAATATGATTCAAATCCCTGAGTTAAAACTCGCCACGTTTCCATCAGATCAGCTGTAGCTTGTTGGAGGCTTCCAGCATCGCCTACAAGGTGACCAGGCCTTTAGCCAGCGCCAACAGCTGTGTGGACCCCATTCTTTACTTCTTGGCTGGGCAGGATGCCCGCAGCAGTCTCACCAGGAAAATCAAACTGTCCTCACCAAAACCAACCGGTGTGATCCAGACATGACCAACGCAACTCTGATCCCGTCTATGTGGAAGTAAACATTTCATGAACGAGTCGTGCACTTGTGTTTGACATGTGACTCTACGAATGAACTCCAGAGGGCTAGAACATCTCTATGAAGGAGAAGCATTTTTATTTGCACATGATCTTTGAATGCCGTGCTGGAGAGATGTTAACCATCAGAGGATGGATATTACACATCAAACCTACATTTCTACACTACTGTGATTTTATTATAACACTTCTGCACAAAGAGCATCCAATGCTAATTATATGCAATACATGTATGCTGCAGAGGGCCGTGCACAACAAGCTGCAGATTAACTACCTACTCTGAATTAAAGCCTTACTCAGCAGTTTTTTCATATTTTGAAATCCTTTTCCTGAGCCAGTATGTGGCTCCTGTAGAAACCTGAAGGCTGAAGAGACATTAGATTAAGTTAGATTAAGGTGTAGAAAAGACAAGCGCAAGAGAGGAGATAGGTTTCAGTTTCTGTTTCACAACAGTGAGTAAAAAGGAACTCTAGGCGGTGCCAACAGCGAGCCAAAACTGCACAGTCTCCCTTTAATTGCATTATTTTAGTCATACCACGACAGCTTAAGATTTGTTTTAACAACAGAGGCTTGACGTGTAATATCCCATTTGTTTATTTTTTTAAAGATGCCCTGCACGTGCTCAGGAGGATAAATTAAATTAATTCAATTGTGTTTTGTAGCCTACTGTATTACAGACTGCATGCAGAAACTTAATCAACCACTGGAAGGCGATATTGTTAGTTTCACATGTAGGGCTGCTCTCCAATCCACAAAAAAAAAACATTCAAAATACTCCTCTCTTTATTTAAATATTAGAAACATGATACAGAAACAAATGTAACACGATTTAATGTGATGCAGAATGATATAAATAAATACAGTCAATCTCATAACTGGTTTTTATATACATGTTCTCTTCCAACCTGCAACATTTGAGTTTGAAAACATTTAATGATGACGGAAATAAAACCAGATATTCTACAGAAGTTGTGATATTTCCTCAAATAAACAACATAATATCAGAAAGTATTGTTTAAAATCTGATAATAGAGCACACATCCAAACTCAGGATGGAAATCTGAGTACAACAGCCTATGATTTCATTTTTAAAAACATTCAATGTCTAAATTATGCAGCATTTAGTTTGTTTCTTAATTACCTACAGAAGATAGGTGTTTATATCTGGATTGTGTGTGGTTCAGGATTAAATTGGAACATTGCTGAGAAAAACACTGACATGTTTATAATCCAGCAGAAAATATGGGAAAATATCAAGTCAAGTTCATTTCAGTTCATGTCACAGAGTGGAAGTAGAGAAACGCTCTCTCAGCTGCAGCACAGCTGTTTCTATCCTCTCTGTGGATTTACTGTATCACCTCAGTCATACTCTCTATTAAAGGTACAAAATCATTGTTAAAGTTTGCATCCTTATTCACATATTTACATTTATTTACATGTTTTGTTTTACGAAAGTGAAATCTTTCTTTTTGTTCCCTGGTTTTCAAACCATAACTGTTGCATAGAAAAGATTAATAAAAATGCTATGATCCATACTGTAAGAGTTATGTTGATTGTGATTTAAATTAGATTGTTTCCATGGACGTAATTTGGGGGGGGGGGGGGGGGGGGACATGTCCCCCCCACTTTTTCCAAAGTCAAGTTTTGACCCCTGCACTTTTTACCTTCCAAAAACAATATTACGCTATATTAAATTGACACTGGTTGAGCTCTAGGACCAAGCGGAAAACAACCGTTTGTGTTGAAGCCTGTTTCCCATTAGAACATACTGTAAAGATCCCCCCCCCCCCCCCCGTGTCCCCCTCACTTCTAAAGTGAAAATTACGTCCATGATTGTTTCCAAACAGTTGTATTATTATTAATAAGGATGATTAACCCTAATTCAGACAGAAAAAAAACAATGCATGTCGGGAGTTTTTGTTAAGATTTAGCATCTTTTAAAAAAAAATCTAATTTCATATCTGTTTCTGCTGGAGCACTAGCCTGGCAAGCCAGACTAACTAAGGCAAGAATTTGGTCTAGTTCACTAGGCTACTGGAGCACAAGAGTAGCCAGAGCAACATCCATGGTGCATGTGGCACTTTGTTACACAAGTCTTTCCTACAAGGGTTTAAAGGTGTGGTTTACTCATTCATTCAATACATTTGCAGTGTTCTCTACTGTAAATAAATGCCTTATTAGTCATTAAACAAAACTATGATGCTTCTGTTCTGAGATGCAGAAGTTTGCTAGTGCAGAGGTGGGCTGAAAAGCAGGATAACGCATTATTATTAATGACATGCACACACCTCGCTTCCGATTGGCTAACAGAACTTGTTCAGCAACGTTGCACTGTCACTATCACCAAGACACTCTCCGCTCTCTCTCCTCGCTGCAAAAAATAAAAAATAAAAATAGCCTTCCTTTGTGGCCTACCCCCAACCTATGAATGCACATTCACAGTACGACGTAGATATGTGAGGACTTTCAAACGTCTATTTTCAATCACAAGCTAATGCAGGAGACTGGTGTAGAGGACTGTTTTCATGATCAGCCTTCATTAAAACTCAGAATGACCAATTATAATCAGAAGTAATTAAAATGTTTTTTTCAGTCAACCACACCTTTAAATAAGACATTTTTCCTGAACTTGTTGCACCTTAATGAAGAAACTGATATTTTATTTCTGTGAATTTTGTCTGAAAGTCGCTTCCTGTTCTGGACAGTGAAGCAGAGCTGGAATCTGTTATTTCCTTACTTCCTTACATCATCACACAACCAGAAACATGCTGCTCAGCAGACAGAGGGTTTTCTTCCATGCATTTCAGCTGTTATTGGATGGCGAGATCTTCTTCCACGAGGTAGAGTCATCACGCAACGCCTTTCGTTCTCCTTCATCTGATAAGACAAAATATGAATGAGATGCTAAACGGGAGCTTTTCCTTTCATTGTTAACAAGTTTGAGGACGTCGAAGTAAAAATCTATTCACAGAAAAGAATAAACCAAAGTAGTATGTTTTGAAAATTGTACCGTTTAAAAACAGATGACGAAGAGGAGGAGAAGGATTTCCCCAGAAACATGGAGTTCCTCTTTTCCTGAGATAATGTTTTGGTTTCCACGGCAGCAGGTTTGTTTTCAGGTATGTGAGCAACTTGAAATCTGTTGTTGAGCAAGAAAACATCGTTAATGTTAGAAAAATGGGGATTTATGACAACGAGCCCCCAAAAATGCAGATTTTCTATCTGGAAGGTTGTTTGAAGCGTTCATTTATTAAGTTTTGGTACTTTTTAATACTTTTTGATGGTTTTATATGAAATCAGGTCAATCTTGTGATTAATTTTGTTGAAAATAATTTGTTATGCAGAATATGTTGCTGTAAAATCCATATTTTCAATAGATGTAAAGGTAGAAATGCAGTTAAAGTTAAAAAAAAAATGGAGGGAAGAATGAATAAAAGCACCCCAGTTCTTCAAACGCACCTCCCCACAGACAACACTGTGAGCGCTCCTTCTTTCTTCTCCTTCTCACGCCCGTCCACTTTATCCTGTACCATTTTTGGCATGCCATTTTGTGTATAGTGTGTGTCCACACACACTCCGTCCAGAAGGGGGTTCTTCATCTGGTCAATGGGGGAATCCAGAGAGGGCAGACGCAGGCTTGGGGGGGGCTTTAGGGGATCTTTGAAAGAATCCAAGGGAGGGATGAGAAGAGGCGGCCATTTTTTCTGAGCACATCGAGTACAGCGGTACCCGTGTCTGGGAGCCAGACCAGAGAGGCCGGAGATGGTGTGGAGGTGGGACTGGTGGGGGCAAAGCCTGGGTAGGGAGCGGAAGGTGGACAACGGAGACAGCATCGGGAACCTGGGGACGAAGACGAATGTTAGGTTGAGAGAAAGTAGAAGGAGCTTAAAACACACCGTGAGTCAGTTTGACTTTTGCTCATTGTTATTTTATAAAGATAAAAGGTTACGAGCCACTGATCTATAAGGGCCCTAGATAACGTCATAAAAACCTGCCTACACAAATACACACGCTCGCACACACACACACACCCCTCTGGACTGTTTCCAGAAAAGTGTGTGTGTGTTTTGTGCATGTGTGTGAGAATGTTCTAGCCTTTATGTGATCCCATTCAGCACGGACGTCCCACTATTGTACACAAGACACACAAACAGAAACAAAAAGCATTCAGTCACCAACATGTGATCTTGTCAGTCTGTGGATGTGGAGACATTGGGCCTTTAGGGGTCAAAGGTTAATCAGAACTGGGTAAAATGTAATAAAAAATAATAATAATTTATCAACATCCCAAATTTTCTACAAGTGTAGCAAAACCATAAAGTAAAAAGAAAAAAACAAGAGGAATAGTGGACTGACATTCAATTTAACAGATAGAAAAACAAAGTGTTTATGATAGGACTGAGATGTCTGGGCTCAATTCATGCAGGTTTTTACATTTTTATCAATAATTTGTTCCAAGACGTTTTGAGAACTGACAGCCTGACACTCAAAAATAAAATAAAAATCCAGTTAAATAAAAAAATAATGTAGAAAAATGGGAAAATATGTTTTAAAATTTGTTTTAAAAGAATTTTATTCAAATGCCAACGTTGGGAAAATGAAGACATTTCTTGTTACGCATTTTTAATTAATCACGTTTTCATATCAGTGCTGCAGCATAAACTTTTCCATTAAAGCTGAGCCCCAGTGGTGCAGACTGTGGTTTTAATTAACTTGTTAAATTAAACACAGGCTACTTGAGCAATTTTAGAGCCACAAGTTCCAACTCAAACAGCAACCACACTCGGTTATGTAAACGCTGATCCTCTGATCGGTGACATCCAGGAATCTCACAAACACACTCATGACTTGACTGTGTGTGACGATCACTCCAGAGCTGCAGGTCTGAGTCAGGACTCAAACTACCGCTGCACAGACCAGGAAGTAGCGAATGCTTTTAATTATTTAAAAGTTGCATGTTGGGTGTATGCATCCTCCCTGACTGTGTGTGTGTTATCCTCCACTTCTACACTCCCAAACGTCTTTAAAATCTTGTTGACCGCAACCTTCAAAAGCTACATTCAACCAATGCATGTGCAGATGTGTGTGTGTGTGTGTGTGTGTGTGTGTGTGTGTGTGTGGTGTGTGTGTGTGCCTCACATACTTGATTGATGAGCCTTTGCTCATCTGTTTGCTCTCGTACTCCAGCAGCAGCTCCTCTAGCGCAGCAGCATTTTCTAAAACACACACATTTACACAATTCCCAGGGGTGATCAAGCTATTTCTTCAAACTACGTCAAACTAAATATATTTGAGCTTTAAATGTCACCAGATAATAAAAATCATAATCACTTAGATGTGCTGTTTGCAAAGCTATTTCTCCTATTTGCTCATAAATACAGTTTAATGCTTCTGTGACTGTGAGTCAGTCAGTTAACAACATGACAAGAAAATGACAAGAACTGCTGACTTCGTCACAACAGACTGTCTGTAACCAAAAGGTATCAGCTCATCGGTGGCATCCGCTGGTGTGTGTGTGTGTGTGTGTGTGCGTGCGTGCGTATGTGTGTGCGTGCGTGCGTGTGTGTGTGCGTGCGTGTGTGTGTGTGTGCGTGCGTGCGTGTGTGTGTGTGTGTGTGCGTGCGTGTGTGCTCACCTTTCTTCTCAGTTATGAGACGAACCAGAACACTGATGGTGTCTTCGTTCAGGTCGTCACATATGTAGGGACATCCGTTCCCTGAAGAAATCAAACTTGTAAAGATCAATAATTATAACATCTTCTCAATTTACAGATAAAGCTAAAATGAAATAAAACACTTCCACACACACATTTTAAATATAGTGAGGTTTCAACTGATCTTCTCAAGCTGTCATGGCAACTATCTATTCATGTACTTAAAGTGACACATTTTCATTTACTGTCAAACACTTTCCATGACATTGTGCATGTCACCCAAGGACATTGTAATAAGGACAAAGGAGAATGACTGCAAAGAATAGATGTGCCACCATGGCAACCCCCCCCCCCCCCCCAAGCATCTCATAATAGAGTAGCAGAGTGCAGCAGATGAGCAGAGAGCGATGAGGGCAGGGGTGGCCTCAGATAGACTCACTCAGCAGTTATTCTCCATTCAGCCCTCTGTGTGTGTGTGTGTGTGTGTGTGTGTGTGTGTGTGTGTGTGTGTGTGTGTGTGTGTGTGTGTGTGTGTGTGTGTGTGTGTGTGTGTGTGTGTCTTACAGCCCCTCTGACTGACAACAGCCTTGTCTCCATGGTTACTGTTGCTACAAGAAGACACCAGCAACAGTTTCACAAAGAGGTGAACTCCTCTATCTCTCATTACTCTTCTGAACAAAATTCAGAGACAGTCTTCATGTCCCTTTCACGGTGCAGGGACAGAGATGTAGACATTTTCTCACACCATTCCCCCTTCCCGAGTCCCTCCATCCCCGCTCTGCAGCCTGTTTTTGTCTGCTGCTCCTCAGGACTGACAGAGTGACTGAGTTTGATTTAAGCCCTGCAGAGCAAAGCTGGGTTTGCTGTAATTTATCCTCTGGGGTGATTCCCTCCCTCAGTGGACATGATGTGAAAAGTGCTGAAACAGGAAGTTCCTCTGCCCTCGTTAGCTCAATCAGGACTCCTGCAGCCCGGCAGACCGACAACAACTCCTACATAACAGCAAACGTTAGAAAGAAGGAGCAATAACTGCATCAATTCATGTTAGTTTCTTCCTTTTCATTCTTTAAAAACCCTAATTATGCACTTTTCTCTTTTCTTATGTTTCACTAACACACTCACTTATCTATGTGTGAGTACATCTTCTTGAGAGGAGAAAAAAGTGAGAAGGTGACTAAAGAGGCCAATAAGAAGGCAGAAAAGTCCGTCTGCTGTGACTTTTGCTAAATTTAAATAACTGTCAAGGACCAAATCGAAATAAAATCAACTTTGTCTTGTTTGAATCTTCCCAAAGGACGAGTTACAGGTCTGAGAGTCAAGACGCAGAAATTCAGTCAAAGTAAAGAGGAACGAAATGGAAGACTGAAGAGATGAGAGGAGAGGAGACGGTCAATAATTGATTTAGATGTGAAAGGAGAGATGGATGGGTGGTGTCATGTTCAGATCATTCAGAGAGGAATACATTAACTTTCACAGAAGAAGAAGCTCTTTGGTGCTAACCCTGTTAGCATGCTGTTTGCAGAGTTCTACCCATAGACTAATTTGTAATGTCATTCAGCATTTTTGGGGGAGGGGGACATTTTCTACAAAATAAAAGAGCTCATGACTTCCTCTCAGGATTTTGCAACACGACATTAAACTTTTGTTTTCTGGATCAGATCAGCTCTATCTTCCTGACATCACTGCCCATAACACACCCTGCTGCTTCTCTGTGGGCCTTGGCCCATGAGTGTGAGTGAACAACATGAGTGTATCACATGAGTGATACAAGCCTGTGAACCACACAGGCACAGAAGACCGAGCACAACAGCAGATTGATGAATAAATTGGTGTATTTTGTCTCATTGTGTGACAACAGCAGTGGGATTTTTACAGGATAAGAAGGAGGAAAGATCTGTTGTGTGTCACGGATGGGATCCTGATGCGAACTCTTGCCAGAAAGGAAGTTCAAATGGCTTAATTGTAGGTCAGAAGCTGAAAAGGATGATTGCACAAAAAGTTAAGTGGTGTTAAGTGTCTTGCCCAAGGACACAACAACAGCAACATACTGAGCAGTGCTTGAACCTGCAATCTTCCAGTTACGGAGCGAGCACTTAACTCCTGTGCCACCGTAGCCCACAAATGTGTACTAATGGTGCGCGTTTTTATTTGATTTGGCGTTTCAATTTGTCAAAGTTTCACCTCTCACCTTCCTTCTGAGGTGTGGCGATCTCTTCATCTCCACCCTCCTTTTCTGCAGTGCAGTTGTATCCCTTCTTCTTCAGGATGTTGCAGATTAGGATGCCCATCAGGCCCATGATGCAGAACACGGGCACCAGAGCAAACACAGCATACTCTGCTGTTTTTTCCTCCGCACTGCGCACCACTGTGCTGTTGGATGGCCCCGCTGCCCCACCGGACGGCCCGTTGTCCACAGTGCGGACTGTTCTGACTCGCAAATCTGCAGAGAGAATCAAGAAAAAACATGAGAAAATGAAAAGAGGGAAGTTATACAAAGCAGATGAAAAGATAAAGATGTTTGCTTACTTTTTATGCAGGGACTTTGGGTGGAAATGTCCTGTTTGCTGGAGGGGTGAAACCTATAAATACATGGGGGAAAACAAGATAATTGAGCTTTTATGTCCATTTGAACCTTGTGTGACCTATTAAATAGGAGTAAACATGGTTGACTGCTGCGTTTAAAAAAGCAGTCTTTACCCTGGCAGACAATCACCACAGACAGCATCAGAGCTCACGGTGCCGGAAACGGCTAACTTCCTGCTGAGAAGCTTGCAGGATGTGTGTGGAAAGCAGGGTTCGGAGTCTAGAGCATCTGAAAAGCGTCCAGGTGGACACGGCTGACACTGCACCTCCTCTGCTGGACTCTGGATCTGCTCGCAAGCCTGAGGACAGAGAAAATACTCCTGAACTCCGAGGAGAAGTTTTATAATCAGCCTCCCCACAGCAAAAACACACCTGCAGGAATATGACGATATCTAAAGTGGTTGCAAAGACGAATGAAGATCATATCTAGTTTTCCTAATAAATTCATTGGTCTGGACACTGAAGGCATAACTGAAATAAGTGGAGTCAGAAAAAAACTACTTGGTTTGACACAAAAGTTACTGATCAATTAAAATATCTTGAATCGTTCAGTTTCACTTTCTGGCCTCACCGTGGATGGCTCCTGGCCGGCAGCACACTGCTGGCACACACACCCATCTCCCCACCGACACTGCACAGCTGCAGTCCCACCACAGCCAATCACCTGGAGGACACACACACACACACACACACACACACACACACACACACACACACACACACACACACACACACACACACACACACACACACACACACACTAGCATCAGTGGAAACAAGTGTGTGTACATTAATCTCATGTATGAACAGCCTGGCTCCATCATATCTTCTGAGGAGGCTTTTAGATGCTCCAGCATCCAGACGTAGAGGCTGAAGTGATCGGGCTTTTGCAGTTGCTGCTGCCAGTCTATGGAATAATTTACCTCAGAGAACTTCAAGGTAGTTTAAAAAAAACCACTTCCACTCTGAGGCGTTCACGTAAAGTAGAGCCAGACATTATGATTTATCTGATGTTTACTCTTCTATAATCTAGGATTTTCGTTATTTTCATTACTAATAATTCTTTTTCTGTTTTTATCCTCCTGTTGCTTTTAAACTACTTCATAAATAAATTGAAATTTACCGCCAGAAGGACGAGAGCTGAGCAGCAGAGGTGGTTCCTCATCTTCGTCAATGTGGTCTTCTATGTTCATATGACCTGAAGGAGAGAAGCTTTGGAGAATGAGTAGATCAGCTACATGGCAAAATGTGCACATTTGAAAAATGCAAGGTCAGAAAAAACATCCTGAGTCATTTTTACACATCAGCTCTGGGTGACAGGGACCCAAAGGCACTGTAAATAACATTTAACGTGAATCAGAGCCTTTTACCTGTGAATGAACAAGAGATCTTCTATCTAGGGCTATAAATGGACCTCGTACACGCGCGCACACACACACACACACTTCATGCAGTGATTCATTCTGCAACACGTGCTGATTACATGGCAAGTTCCATGTGCCACAAATGAGTTTACATCACAGAAAAACAACAGAATCAGTTGTTTGAATCTTCTAGAATTAAGTCGTGTTTCAAAGAACGTTACAAGAGACAGTTTGTTCCTACAGGTTCAGCAACTCTAAATCAGATGTTCCTGCTTGAAAAGTGAACATTTTTCAGTTTCACTTGTTGAAAAATGTCCTAAAATATCTCAGGGTGAAGGGAATTGATTCACATTTTAACATAGCTGCATGAGTCTTCAAGTGTTTTATTCTGAAAACCTCTACATCTATTGAATCTGATCCTGTTAAACTAAACCAAGTACTTCTAAGCCAAGTTAGAAAATTATGTTTGAGAATAGAATAGAATAGAATAGAATAGAATAGAATAGAATAGAATAGAATAGAATAGAACTTTCCAGAACCATGCAGCTTACTGCAGGGGACACAGACATTTGATCAATTTTACTAAACTCCTATTAAGACATTATGCTACAATGCTTCAGCAGAACCCACCTTTCCACACAAACAGATCTATTAATTAATATAAAATGAGAACGTTTGCAGGAAGAAATTTCTCCACCCAGTGCTTTTTCCGCAGCCAGAATTACAGGATCGACTCTAGACAGCACTGGCATTACCGGTGGGGGACCGACACCAAGCAGCAGGTAGTTTGTGGTAAAAAAACAAACTGTCTTTAAAATTATAGAACGGCATGACAGAATCATAAAACATGAACGTCTATCTGAGCACATGCTGAATGAATGGTTTTTGTGAAAAAAATCCAATGTTCTTGTAACGTAAATGCAGCAAACGAAACAATAATGTCTCAACAGCGACTTTCCTGAAGAAAACCGGACGGAACAAAGAACTAAACAACATGAGAAGGCGACTAAAGAAGAAATTAAATTTACATTTAGACTAAATAAAAGTAGAAATAAAAGAACAAAAGCTGCAGAAAAGTTGCAAGATGACTGAAAAAGGTGATAGATTGAGCGCCATACTCACCCCACACTGGCAGCTGATGCACACGGTTGCCTTGGCAACTCGATAAGGATGCTGAGCAGCTGAATCAAACCTAACCTTCAAATGTCTAATATAAATAATTAAACTCTGTCTTCAGTGAAATTAAAAACTAACAACAAATTATGTGTAGGAAACAAAAATCCTAAATGCTGTCCAGAGCTAGGACTCAACAGTTAGTGTGAAGTCACAGAAGTCAGTCAAAACTCTGACACACACAAGTCTGAGTAGCTGAATGGAGAAGTCAGAGTACCTGGTAGAGTCTTATACTGTCACTGTGATCACAGACACACCCCACTGTCCTCAGGACATGCCCCCTCGTGTCAGAGCTAAAACGTGTGTGTGTGTGTGTGCGCGTGCGTGCGTGCGTGCGTGCATCTGGTTTAATGCTGCTCATCACTCCTTAGGAAACAGAAAAGGTGTTTCACCAATAATCCAACTTCACACCACCTTCATTTTCATTCTGATTAGTGTCAGGATTACAATCTGTAATCTATAAAGCATCTACAGAATAACTGTTCTTGTCAATAAAACACAAATAAAGACTTTTCCTTTAGGAATATTATCGTCTCTCAAGCCAACATCGAGCTGTTTTTATACCCAAACGGCCAAATTGAATAAGTTTGCGGAGCCTACATGGAAATAACAGGCTACTGAGGCATAATTTTAGAGGTTAAGCGAAAGATAAAGTGTAAAGGAACCTACATTTAGAGTGGAAAAAAAACCACGGATCTAGTTCTTTTGGGAAGATAGATCGCCTGAAAGCTAAGACTTCAGGCTGATAGAGCATTCATGCAAGTACAGATATATATATAGAAGCAATTGTTAAAATGTCATATAGACCAGAAAACGAGACTAATTACAGGTCAAAGACACGCGTGCACATCTGCCTTTGCAAACGTGCTCATTTATGCAGCTTAAAATTGGAAAAAGATCAATATAATGAATAAGAGCTGAATAGAATGGGACTTACAAATTAAAAGCCTCTTTTTGGGAAAAATGCTGGCTAAAACTCCAGAGGCCAAGGACTGCTGACTGTTACAGGAAGCCTTAGCTGACCTTTAAAAAGTGCATTGACATGAGTGTATTTATGCTGCATCAAAGTGGAGAGTGGCTGTTGCCACAGGCTTTCTCTTTCTGAGTTCAGAGCAAGAAATATAAAAAAGACTGCAAAAAAAAAAAAAAAAAACTCGTGGGACAAAATGAAGCACCTGCACGGAGACTGTGTAATTTTCATGATCGTATAAGGGAGGTGTGTGTGTGTGATAGTGACAACCAGTGAAGCAAAATGCTCTTTTATTCAGATTTAAACCTAAAGCGTGTTCAATAAGATGTTTAAACTGGGTTTGACCACTTCCTGCTGAAGTCACACTCAGACAAACAAAACTCTGCCAGGTCTGTTGATGTGATTCATTTACTTTTAAACCCAAACGTCTGAGGCTTTTCCTAAAAAAAATGTTAAAAAACCACAACAACACACTGACACATGCGACACACACGCTGAATGAGAAAACAGGAAGCACTCAATTTCTCTCACCAAAATAAAGTCATGGAAAACTGGCATTGGTGAGGTTTTATTATTTTTGTTGTTTTTTTTTTTAATCTTTTGGGGAGAAAAGAAACAAAATTAAAACTTTAGAGACTCTCAACCTATCAGAGATGGAAATGCTGTTCTAGCATCAAAGCTGGTAGCATTTGTGGTTTCTGTAGTGAGGCTACCTAAGAACTACATCAGTTCTTCAGAGGTTCTGGTCCATATTGACATGACATCATCACACCATTACCTTCACAACAAATCTCTCGTTCCACCACATCTCAAAAGCTCTGGTGACTCTGGAGGCAGCTGGAGTCCAGTGAACTCGCTCACATGAAACCAGTTTGAGGTGATCTGAACTTTGCGACCTGCTGCATGAACCTGCTGGTAGTGGCCATCTGATGATGGGTTCACTGTGGTCATGAAGGGATGAACAATAAGGAACAAAACCAGGTTCTGTTGATGCTAGGTGGTTCATGTACACTATGGTCATCTCCGCCTGGGTGGAGTAGGGAAAGCCTGTCCCCGCATGGCCAGGTCGTGTTTACTCAGGAGCTCGGATGTAGCGGAGGACGTGGACGGGCTCTGATGTTAAAGTGGCACAGAGAAGCCAGCGATGGCATTCCGAAGCACCATAAGACAGTAAACAAGTGAACAGTAGAACAGAGTTGCTGTTGGAGACTGAAACACACATCTTCCTAATCTTCACTTTGAGCAGCGGTGCAGCCGTGGGCTCCTCCCCACCCAAGAGCGCTCGCTGCAGAGCAGAGCAGTCATTGTACGGCGGCAGCTTTGCCCGGTTCGAGCTACAGAGTCGAGGGGGTCTACGCATTAGATGATGCATGGAACTGTGTTGTTGGTGAGGAGAGTGAGGGCAGCAGAGGGTGACACCGTCCTCTGCTGCCCGCGGATAAATGGAGAAGGAAGTGACGCCGCCCTTTAGCAGCTAGCCCTGATGAAGATCGCAGGAGTGATCGAAACTGTCAGCAAGGTAAAAGAAAAACCTTTCCTGTGTTTAATAAAAGAAGTTAAACATTCAGAAGAAAAACACAGAATGAATATACAAAAGAAGTAAGGCTAATCAACTAGTAGGTAGGCGTAAAAGTGATGAGACTTCAGCCGGCCAATCAGTACACAGGTGTGTGTGTAGGGTCGGCTCAGCACGAAACGAACTGCAGAGAAGCAGGGCTGAAAAAAGCAGTTGGCCCTGCACGAACACCCACCAGGGCCAGACCCAGCTAACCACGGTGTAAATGCAGCTAAAGGGCTCACAGTGGGCCACACAAATCTGTCCCACACCACTACCGAAGGAGAGTCAACCCAGCAGCTGATCCATCAGGTCCACCTGTTCAGGTGATTGTTGATAAAAAGCAAATGAACCAATCAGCAGCTGAATGCATTTAGGCCCCTAGACATGATAAAGACCACTTTCTGAAATTCAACTCAACCACGGAATGAATGCTGTGTTCTGAAGAACAATCCAACATGGAGGTCGTGTATGAAGTGGAAGTTTCAAAGGGTTAAAGTTACGACTACCTGCTTTCTTATCAACTTCAAAACATAAGAAGTAGCAACGAAGATATGGAGACTTCAGCGGCGTCCGTTTCTAACAACTCAATGCTTTGGAGATTTAAACCAGTGCTTAGGGCATACCTGATAAAGAGGTCTGCGTGTCCGTCCAACGTCCTGAACATCCACACAACAACCCCCCCCCCCCCCCCCCCCCCACCGAGAGAACTTTAATCTCTCAGCATCGTCTTCCACAACATAGGAAACTGTTTGGATTATGGATGTTAGATATCTGCCTTTTAACTGATATCCAATATACCAATTTAGTATAAACCATAATTACCAACACTGATATAAATCAATAGTTTTGATTTCTGCTCAATTGATCCAAATTAATTACAACATTTACATAAAATAATCCACTATTCTAGATAGTTTTTGTTGTGGCTGATGGTGTGTTTAAGCAGTACTGAGGCCTTTTCATTACAGACTTTACACAATCACAGAGGTTACAAGTCCTTTTGTCTGCTTGTTACAACAATGTCTGACCTCTCTAATCTTGTCTTCCACGTGCTCTCCCTGTCCTCACCTGCAACTGTCATTTGTTCTTTGCTTGTTTCTTTTTCACAGCTCAGCTTTGACGACCTTCACTCC